TTTTTGTCTGGGCCATTCCACCTCTTCTTTGCATTATGTAGAGTGGATGCAGAAACAAAAAGTTCTGTCCTCTTTAGAGAAGACTCATTAAGCCCGACTGCACCGCCCAACCCACAAGCCGGCTTGCGAGGGAGCCTACAGTAGCATGATTCAAAATACCTTTGGATGAGGAGGGTGGGGCAGAATTTGGGCGGTTGGTTTGTCAGAATGGGCTACAGACCTGGATCTCTCAATTTCATTTCCATTTCGTTCAAAGAAGCAACTTCTTCTTCTTGAGGGGCATGGATAACCATCACAGTTGACCCCAGTATACTTAATATGCAGCCTATTTTCCCATGAATATTCAGGTGTTCATTTAAAAAATAGGAAGACAAAATTGCACTGTTAGGAGAAGGAAAAAAACCAACAGCAGTTACTCTGGTTGAATTACCCTTTGGTCTCATAGAAGCTCAGAAATCACACTGAGGTATGTGACATGTGGAACATACTTTGTGACATGGAAAAACTGGATGGAGTCTAAAACTCAGAATGATAGCCAATCAAACCTGTTGTTGTTAGTTGCTGCCAGGCTCAATTCCTATTCATGCCAGCCTAAACTGGTGCTCCACAGGGTTTTCCAGGCTGTGTGCTGGGGCCTGGGTGGCTCTGTTGGGCACCACTACTCTGGAAGTCACACTGGATCACTAACCTCAAGGCTTGTGGTTCTAGCCAAAGGTTAGAAGTCTTTACAGGAGCAGACAGCTTCAGCTTTCTCCTGAGGAATAGCTGGTGGGTTTGAACTTCCAACCTTGTGGATTAGCCATCCACTATGCCACCCAAACCAAAAGCACAACTCACTGCCATCGAATCGATTTCCACTCCTAGCCACCCTTTAGGACAGGGTAGAGCTTCCTCTTTAAGTTTCTAAGATTGTACCTGTTTATTCCCATAGAAATAAAACATATTTCCCATAGAAACCCCCATCTTTCTCTTGAGGAGGCTGGTGGTTTCAAACGGCTGACTTTGCAGATGAAAGGCCAAAGCATAACACCATTATGCCACCAGAGTTCCTAAATAACCAAAAAAGACAATCTATTTCTTAGGAGCCCTGCAGTCACAGTGCATGGCTGCTACCTAAAAGGTGGATGGTTCAAACCCACCAGTTGCTCTGTGGAAGAAAATTGCAGCTAGCATTTTGCACAGATTATAGCCCTGGAAACCCACACAGCGTGTGTACTATGCTGTGGGCTGACTGTGATTCAGGATCCACTCAATGGCAATCGTTGTTTTGTTTTCTTATTGATATTGCTATTCATTTCATAGTCTTCTCAAATTATTTGTGTGCTTTTGTTGTTGTACGTT